CTATCTCTGCCACACAGAGAAGGAAGAGGAGGAGGTGGACCTGGTATCAAGATCCGTCTGTGTTTGAGCTCGTATGCAAAAGCTTTACAAATAGACTCTCACCCTGAAGTTGCACTGGGTCACTATTCTGTTTGGCTCTGTAATCCGTGCATCTTCAAATCCCGCTGAGAGCGTTTCAGAAGTGGAGCGTCTTCAGAGCGTGTTGCTTGCCCGGCGTTGTTAACTTGTGTATTTTGCCCTTAAAAAGGATACAAATGGTGTGTTTCTCCACTTCAAATCTCCCCTTATCTGCCTCTGACTGATTGACTGCACAAGATATTTTACTTTGAAAAAATGTATCATGTTCTCTATTCAAACAAAAGAGGGAAGCAAATTTTCGTCTTGCATTGTTCAAAAGCAAATTTGACCACTGGGTGGTTGGTTTGTCCCAAACAGCCAATTCACAGACTGTGAAACATGAAGCAAACATGTTCTTTCTTTGATTATTAGTTGAAGTTTTTAAATCATGTATTCAGTCATAATATCAGATACACAATAAGCCATTTTCATTCAGAATGACACAAATGTTTCATACTTCAATATATCTAAACTTAATTCCAGGTTTATGTCCTGCTGTAGCTTACAAGGTGATCTTTAGACAGAAACCAAAGGTTCTGGGAAATAGCCAACCTCTGAAACATTCAGGGCTAAAATACTGCTGTCTGTCTGTCAGCCAGCTGCCATTAATTTCACTTTCTTCTTCAGACACATCTCTCTTCATAATGGTTCATTCATTACCTCCAATAGGTGTTGCAGATTTATGCTTTGGCTCAGCTTGAGCTTAGGCTGCACTTTGCCAAGAAGACAGCTGGTAATATTTTAATATATAGACGTGCAGGCATCATCATTATTCAGCAGAATTAAAAGCTATTATTTTTTTCCTCTCACACCCACAGATACCCCAGCTGTCCATCTGTACATGTGGAAGTAATAGCTGACTCTAGCTGTGTCCAGAATCGCTCCCCTGTTCAGCACAGGAAGATGGCTTTTAAAATGGATCAGGGGAAGAAGTAGAGGAAACCGTGATTGGGCGAGTGTAAAAGGCACTCAGATGCGCATGTGCTGTAGAGTGACTCAGACCAGAGAGTTGGCGATGACCATACCAGAGAACGCGAGAAAGCAGACGGTAGGGTCACAAAGAGGCATGCCCAGCAGGAGATTCACACTCCATCAGTTCCACCTTTAAAAAAAAACAGTGGTTACTTTCAGTGTAATCTGCCAGTGAGGGACTGAGCAGAAAAACATGCAAGACGGTGCCTGTCCAGATTTGGACCAGTTTAGAAGTAAGCATTTTTCGTTGTTTTAGGAATGTGGCTCCTGTTTAGGCGATAAAATCATTGATAGGGGACACAAGTTTCTGATATGGATAGATCTATAACCAGTGGAAGTAAACACAAAAGAGCGAAGTTCAACTCGTCAGTTTTTAGCTTGCACACTCACATACTCCCCCATCTCCGTTTGTGCAAAGCATTGTTTTGAACTAATGTTACCGGTACGGGAAAGTGGATCATTTGGAAAAGAGGTAAGAAAAAAAAAAATTGGTGGAACCGAAGGGCACGGGAAGGGCAACAGTTGCCTCTCTGCCGGTTGCACTTGACGATTCTCAGTCTGAGGGACTGGAAACAGAGTCGTCGATTCAATCCAGGCACGGACCCACAGTCATGGGTTGTGGACTGGTAGGCAGGAGAGGTGCCACGTTCCACCTCCTTTGGCACTTTTTTGAAGGGTGCCCTGGAGCAAGGCAGCTAAGACCTAACTGCTCCCAGAGTGCTTGCACGGGCATCACCACTCTTCGCAATCTCTCCACATTTGCATGTTTATAAGCCCTGTGTATGCGATGAGTTGGTATGTTTTGGCCTATTGTGTGTAAAACACTGAATATAAAAAAAAAAAAACTGCCCCAAAGTAAATCATCTTCTACCGTCTGTAATTTCAGACGAAGCTCACAGCGGAGAAAACTCAAAAGCGACAAAAGACGACGGAACGGCAAAATAGTGCAGAAGTTGTTACACTTTCAGTCTTGGTCCATTATGGTGAAAACCAGGTTTTTTATCTGGGAGAACGTTGTATACACAAACTGGTGTAGTTTGCGTTTGAAGATAAGGATATTAAGCACTAAGCACCCAGTCAGCTATAAAGTGGTAGTGTTTCTGGTTTCTTGCTACCATATGATGATGAGAAAGGTGACCCTCACTTCAGCAACAGGAGGGCTCCAAGCAGTGAGCAACAGCGGTAACACATTGATTCTTCTTCCGAACAAGGAATATGGGTGACTACAATGTGCCCAGTTTCGGTCTGTCCAGATTGTGCGTGGCGTGTCGCCTGTGGACGTGCAGCAAAGTGGACACACTAAGTTGGGTGGTGGACTGGTTACGATGAGTGTGCGTGTTAAGGTGTACATGGTGGAACCCCGTCACTTTGCCAAGAAGACAGCTGTTAATATTTTAACAATATATAGACGTGCAGGCATCATCTTATTCAGCAGAATTAAAAGCTATTATTTTTTTCCTCTCACACCCTACACAGAGGTAACCCTCAGCGTGTGGTGTGCAGATACTGTAGCGAATGGGAGTAAGTGAGTGACGTGTACTCTATGCTCCAGATGTCGACTGCCGCCTGGTGCGCGCTGCGAGTGTCATAGTTCATGGTAGAGTAAGTGTTTACTCAGATTAGGAGATCGACCGTATGGAATATCCTGAACGTCAGCTTGTTAGTATGTCGCATGAAGAAAGTATGAGGAGTAGTGGTCCAGAATTTGACTCCCACTACGTGCTGCTCTCTATGACCTACGAACTCGAAGATGCTATGTCTCTAATATATCAATTGTAAAAAACAAATCATTTTATATTATTAATGTTAATAGTTCACAAGCTATAGATGAGCTTAGAGATTGTTGTATAATAATGTGTGAGTGGAGTGATTGATTGCGAAGAGATGTACATCCTATAAATTAAGGATTTGAAGTGAGTGAATGCTTGATAATAATTGAGACATGTATAATGTATTTGGAATGACCTTGTATAGCAAATAAGTATGAGTCTACAATGGTTAAATTTGTCATGATGTAATGCTTTAGTGACATGCTTATCCGTACTGTATGGTTACATTACGGAATATATCTTTGGCGAGTATGAGTAAAATACTAGGATTAGTACAGTGCAGGCAAAGGCATGAAACACAATGGACGAGGATGAACTGAAAGATGAAATGATAGCGAGTGAGAACAAAACTACGTAAATGTTCGAGAAATAAGGTTGAACAATGAAAAAAAGGAGTCACACTAGATTGTCTTGATAATTGATATACTAGGTTGTTGTGTATTGCATGTTATATCAGGGTGGAATTAGATGTATTTAAATGCTTGTAATAAATGGGCCAAATGTTGCTGAAGCTCATTTGAAATATAGTTGAAGTGTATAACGCCTCGCTTAGTCTATGGCTTTCTTTTTATATTTTATTGCACATGTCCAACAGTGAACTACAGTCTTACTCTGCTTCCTCAGAGGTTTGTGTGTCTGGATGTGAGGGTGAGATCCCTGTTTGAAACCCTGCATGCTGCTCTTCACATGAAATGGCACACAAGTGACTGCCTCTGAGATCACATGCCAGTCAAACTGTGCAGTCAGGGAATGGGGAGAGAGGGAAGAAATGGATGAAGGGAATAAGTTTGCAGGCCAGGAGGAGTGAGGAGGAGGAGGAGGAGGAGGAGGAGGAGGAGTGAGGGGAACTGATGGAATTGCAGCTACAGTACCTGAGCCACTGCCTCTGATTGCAGCTCTTGATAAAGAAAAGTATCAGATAGGCAATCAGAGTTGTGGCCTGAGAGGATTTGAAATTTTTGGTGGACTATGGATTGGTCCACCTGTTTATCTGTTCGCCTATCTTTGAGAGGGGCTGATGGGATTTTGACAGCACTGAGGAGAATGATACATCTCCACTGGCGTTTCACAATTACACGTCAGGATGTGTAATATCACAGTCTAAAACAGAGCTGCAAGCAAAAATTTACAGGAGTAAAGCAAACACACGCATGGGAGAATGCCACAATGTTGAAGGCAAAGAGAGTCACTCCAGTTAATCGATTATTGTTTAACCTTTTAAAGGTCCAGTGATATAATATTCATAAGTATCGTTTTATTAGAGCAAATCATCTGAAAATAGTAATCGGGTCGCCTTCCATGGAGGTTGAAACGTGGTTTCTCCTACACACTTCACAGCCCGTTCTCATTTCCAGGTCATCTAACACAGATGTGAGTTGTGTTCATTTAGTTGCCACTAGATGCCACTAAATCCTACACACTGGACCTTTAAAGGATTAAAAAATATTATAAAATGTCCATCACAATTTGCCAGAGCCTGAGGTGTAGTCTTTAAATATATTGTTTTTATGCGATCAACTGTCTAAAATCTAAAGATTCTCAGTTCATGTTAATGTAAAACAAAGAAAAGCAGCAACATTTAATAAGCTGAAACCAACAAATGTTTTTAGCAATGAACAACATACATGATTAATTAGTGATTAATAAAGTTTTAGTCGTGTTATTTTCTGTCAATCAGCGAGCCCAACGAGTCGTTTCTGCACTAATTAAAGTCATGTAACAAACCAAAATACAGCCTCAAGAATTACCGTAACCTTGAATAAATACATGTCGTACACAGAAACAGTTGATTTAAAAATTATAGTACTAAGTATCTCAGAGATGTTCATCATGTGTATCTCCTGTAAATCAAACCTACTTACTAACAAGCTCTGACAGTTTTTGGTGGATGTTTGTTTCTCAGTATTCGCCTGCTCTGGATTGAGACCATGAGTTTGGTTCCTGTTACCCTGTTATGTGATAATTAAACATGAATTATTTTAAGCGGTTTGTTTGTTAGCCTCACCTTGAGCAGGTAGGAATATTTATTTCTTATACAGCAGTTGGAGTAATCAACTCTTCCTTTCTGTCTCTTCCTTGCAGAGCATGTTCACTCTTCTGTTGGGTCCTTTCACCTTCTTCAGCGCCCAGAAGACCAAATATCTTCAGATTCTCACCTCACTCATGCGCTGGATTGGTAAGAATAAACTAATTCTACGATTCAGTGTTTTGGTATAATGAAGATTTTGACTTTTTCACCTTTCTCAGTTTTTCCCGTTTGGTTTCTTCCAGCCCTCTCTTTTTCTACTAACATATATTTCCATTTTCTCTGCGTCTCCCCCCATTTCTTTCATCCCTCCCCCTTCTCCTACCCTCGCCTGTGTGGCTGCCGTGCTCAGGTCCGTCCATCATGGTTGGGTCCTGCTCTGTGTCTTTGATTCCCATCTCCTCTCATTCCTCAGCCTGACAGGCTTGACAGCCCGTCCCAAGCTTGATTGGACCGTCACTCACAGGGCGACGGGCGAAAATAAACCGCCCGTCCTGGGTCCGCTGTTAAAATCACAACACCACTGAATCATGGCGCTCCCGCCACCCCCGCACAGCCGCCGGTGCTAGCTCGCATAAACAACACACAGACACAGCAGCATCCACACACTGTCCACTGTCTGGCTGGCTAAATAACACGGGCGTTTCTTCATCTGTCTTCACCCTCCACTGGCAGCTTATGTATTTGATTGGTGTTGTCGCTTCGGTAGGGCTTTTTACAACACTGGCTAATGATTCAAAATGGCTCCAGTCCAAGCTGTGTGTTTCCACCGTGTATTGGAGCAATAACACGAGGGAAAGGACAAACAGAGATCCAGCAGATCAGGTGAAATTTGATTTTAATTTTAGAATCATTTAGAAAAATTACAAAATAAATAAATCAATACATTTTACAAAAGCCAAAGAAAATCATGTTTGGTTGAGTTTAGATTTGATATTCAGCCCAGCCAGTTCGAGTACGGATACAGACAATTCTCCATAGTCTCCATTTAAAGTTGTTCAGCTAAGTTGATTAGAATAATGTGACTGCTCGTGTTCCTTGACCTGTCAGGATCTGTTGTGGCGATGTATTCGTTTAATGTAATCATGGGGGATAGAAATTATTAAGAAAATAAGACCAGAATTAACCTTTAAGAACAGGGGTAATAACCTTGTGTAGCATTTGGAATCAATCCTTAGATGTCTGGTCCAACTTTGTACATAGGTTTTCTGTTTCTGTCATTAATCTTGACCATGGGCTATGTTCCCTTAATGTTTTCTGCCTAGCTTTGCATCTTTGTTTTAAGTGCAGAGAACCGAGTACTGTACATTTCCTAGTGTATAAAGAGAGTTTGAGTTATAGATTATATGTTGGAGCTGCTACTCGATG